TCGGACAGGGCAAGATATGACAAAATACCCATTTATAAACTATCAAGGGCTCATGAGAGAGGGGGCAGCGGGGAGGGAGGGGAAAATGAGGACCTAATGTCAGGGGTTTAAGTGGAGAGAAAATGTTTTGAGAATGATGTACGGATGCGCTTTGCACAGTTGATGTGTGTATGGATTGGGATAACAGTTGTATGACCCCTAATAAAATGTTAAAAAAAAAAAAAAAGATTTCGGCCTCCGAAACCCTATGATGGGGCAGTTCTACTCCATTCTAGAGGGTGGTTAGGAGGTTGGATTAGACTCAGGCATTGGGCTTTACTGTTGTTGTTTTTAAAATGGCTGAAAGCATCTCCAAAGGAATTATGCTATAATGGCTCTGAATAGCACTTGTTGCTCTCATTTCTAAGAATATCTCCCCAATATTTAATAAAATTAGCTAGTTCTAAAATTGTATTATAGTACTATAAGAAATGTGATTGATTTTATCTGCTAAAGAAGTACTAAAGTTTCTTCTGTTTTAAATCTGAAAATGTGTAGCTGTCTAAAAAGGAAATTAATGTTATCTAAAGGACTAATTCTAAATTTCTTATAAGAAATATATAGTGTGGAGAGTCAACTAAGAAAATAAAATATCTAAATTACAAGTACTCAAAAAATTCTTGATATTTACTATTTCAGAATTGTTTGAGGTTTTCGAGGGAGAAAGGAACAAAAGTATAGACTGCCAAGTTATATGAACTAAAGTAGACAGTGAAACTAGATTTCAAAACTTGTATTGTGAACCAAATTTATCAATCCTTTGCTTTCACTTTTTAGGTTTATTGATTAATGTAAGTAGAAAAAAAGAAGATATTTTAATGAGAATTTTCAAAAATTTATTGAGTATGAAAAAAATAAAACAGAAAAGCCAAATTCTAGAAACTGTCTGAGATCAAGGGATAAATATGGCACTGATAACATGAAGACCGAAGACCCTGATGGATCGTCTTTATTATTAAGAACTCTGCTTTCAGTTTTTTTCTGACAGTTCATTTTAGCATCACAGAGAATTCTGACTAAATTGTTTAGCTTATTTGTGCTATTCCCTGTGAACATAAATGGTGGGGGGGGGGGTGTTTCATGTTATTTTACATGTAATGATTTATGATAATGTATTAAAAATATATAGTTATACCAAGCTATTGCTTGAAGATAAATCACGAGGAATTTCCTTTTTCCTGTGTTCTAAATTCATGAGATCATACATCTGGGTTTAAATATTGTTTCATTTTCTTGTGTCACCTTCCTCTCTATATCTCAACACCCACTTAGTGGAAGTGCTGTCAAGAAGTAAACTTGCCAAAGGCAGGCAGCATGAAAGGAGACAAAAGAAGCAAAAAGTCACTAACGTTGGTTATCAATTTCTGACCAACTAAAGTTCCTTTAAATGTGAAAGATGGTGTATCCCTCTGATTCTTGTACAGACTGGATGTTTCACATGTGATCATGTGCTGTTTTAGGTTGCAATGCCTGACATACAAAGACTTGTGTAAGCTTAGGCCTAAACCTGGACACATTGTTTAGTAGGTTATCATGGTAGATATTTTTCCTTTAATATCTGAATTTATTCTTTTCTCACATCCCCCTGCTGCTGCTACTGCCTTATTTTCCCTCCCTGTCTTTTTAGGTTTCTTTTTTTTAATTTATTATTTATCATTTTAATATCTCACCTGTAACTAACACATTCTTTACCTGGATGAAGGGGAAAACAACTCCAAAACTTGGCATATTTCACCTTCCCAGTTCCTGCATCTATGTAACCCTAGTCCAGACCCTTCAGCTTCACAAATGCAATATCTTCTTTGCACCTCACCCCTAAATCAAGACTTGTATATTTGCTTCCTAATGCCTATTTTGACCTTAAACATTCACCCCTTCTCTGAATTTTTTACACTGAAGCCAGACTGCCTGGTTTTTGTAAGATACTGCTATACACCACCACTCTGCTTATACTCGTTTTCCAAAATTTTCCGTTTTCTCACCTTCATGTACTTTACTTTTTGTTTGAAATACTAATTTTTTTGCATATTTAAAGCTTACTCAGCCATTTCTCTAAAGCTCTGTGAAAGTCTTACATTTCCTTTTCTAAATATTGTAACACTTTGTGTTACATAAAGGCTTTCCCTTTTTCTTCCATTATTCTCTAGCTTCATTTTGTATTTCTTGTTTTATTTTACAGCTACTGCTTCATACATCACATTGTATCCTGAGGGGAATACATTTTATCTCAAAAATATGAAATAACTATTTCTGGTTGGTTTTCTTTCCTTGATTCATAGCCAAGAAAAATATATTTTGAATAGTGTTGCTTGCTAATTCTATACCTTGTTTTTGTAAAATGTAAGATCAAGATAAAAAAGACCACATGGTTTTATATCTATCTGTAAATAACTTCATTTACCTTTTTTTGGACAAAGAGAGAATAAAACAAAAGCCTAACATTGTACCTTTATATATGCTGTTCTGCAAATCCTTTTTAAAACGAGGTAAATTAAACCTATTTGGAGAGTTATGTGGTGTTGCTGCTGTTGTTTCTGTTAATCAAATAGGATCTGCAAATTTAAAGGTGTTTTAGATGATTTAACTCTTATGTTTTCTGACTTCTTGAACCTTCAAAACTAAGATTTTTTGAATGTTTTGCATTTTATTAGGTGCACAATCAGTTTTGTAAATTTAGAAGTAAGCTGGTGGCTGATTTTATATTGTCTTGCCTGACCTGATGGGAATCATATCACACTGGTCTAATCTAGAGACAGGAATCCCAGGGTAACTTTAAAAGGAAAGCTTAAATTTAAAAAGTTTCAAACCATGATGAAAAATATAAGGTATAGGGATTCTACATGGTATTTTATCCAAAGAAGGACAAAGTAGGAGAGTTCTCGCCCCAAGGCTGGAGTTTAGTTGAATCATATAATCTTCTCTCCCACCTTCTTACAAAAAGGAAAAAGTCATTTGGTGGAAATTAGAAAGACTGTGACCGGAAAAGTCGTATTAAAATAATTCACTGTAATCTGGGCTGCTCCTTGGCTCTTTTACCAGTTGTCATTTTCACACAATAATTTTACTGTAAGCATGCTTAAGAAAGCTTGTAAGACAAATGCTACCTGCATTTATCTTTCCCAATTTTAGATTTCCAATTTCTAAATTGCCCATCCCTGTCAACCCTGAAGAGAGAGACATACTTCTTTGATTTGAAGGATCTATTCATATGGGAACGTTGGGGATAGTCATCCATAGAGGCTTGTCCAGAGAAAGCCAAGGAATTTCAGCAGTTTACACTAGCTCACATTGGCAAGTGGTTAGATTCTAATCATTTCAGCCTTAGCCTTCCAAGCTTGGTCAATTAGTAGGTACCATTTGCAAGTTTGGCGGTCCACACCCCCCTGCATGCACTTCAGACCAACGCTCCTTTCTCACACTCGGCTGTAGTACTCAAGAATTAGGTCAGTGCCCATAGGCTTAGGAGTACATACAGTTCCCTCAGCCCTTCCTCTCCTTTCTTAATCCTGGCCTCCAGACTAGGTGAATGGTTGCCAATGGGACATGTCCAACATCAGTCTGTCTCTTCATTGCTGCTTCTCGCCCACTTCTACTCCACAAGGAGACCCAGGTGGTTGCCACAGGAGCCATACCAGGCTGCCTTTGTCTTGAAGGTCTAGACGGGAGTTCTCTCCAATGGACACAAACTTGTTCTTCATAAATGCATCCAATGGCAAACTGCTTGCTCAAAATTTAAAAAGCCAAGCAATCTGCCCACTCCCACCCACTGCCTTTTTGCAAGTTTATCCTTCAAATGTAAGTCTTCTGGTGTCTCAGCAGTTCTGGGTGGGCCTCAGATTTCCACTTAAGCCCCAAACTCTGCCATCAAATAAAGCCTAGTCCTGGGAAATTCCTTCACTTTGTTTCCCATATCCAATCAAGTATAAGCTAATTGTGGCTTACAAGCTCTCTGTAATCATGGTAACCATATTGATCTCCATCACACAAGAGGCCTATTGTACAATTCCAGGTAGGAGAAACATTCAATAGCCATAGTGTAATTAGAGAACCACCTAACCCGTCAGCCTTTTTAAAATGCCCACATTTAATGTTCTCCATCCCTGGGCTGTGCCTCTGGCAGGGTAGATAGTGTAAACTCTGACCCCCCTTTATTAGTCATCTTGGTTGACTTATCCCAGACTACTCCAGAAGTAGCTTTTCTCCTCAGCTGCAGGATATCTCACACTGCTTCAGTAATCACAGATAACAAAGTAGCCATCTAAGATTCAAAAGTTTAACTTTTCATGTCCTTCGGTATTCCTCTTGCAAAAGACCCATGTTTCCCATGTGTTTGGAGCCTTGTGATGAAGCCCACTCTGACGCCAACTGTAAAAAAGAAAAGACACGGTGCCACATCTGACCATTTCCATTTACACAAAGAGGAAGGAAAATCGCCAGTATTGGCATCATCTTCACGAGGCCTATGCTGATGAGGCTGAAGTCAGGCATACCTCCAGTCATCCCGACTAAGGCAGCAAATGCTCTGCTGCTTTGCTGGATCCGATCATTCAGTGGTCAAACACAGCTCACAAACCAGTAAGGTAAATGCTTATGAGGTGGGTATTGGTAAGTCCCAAACCTAAAATTCAGAAATCCCGTTTGGAGGATAGTGCTCAGCTAAAACACTGCAGAGGTTGGTGAAATTAACTTGGGCAATCGTCTTCAACTCAAGTCACAAGGATCCAGAATGAGAAGAGAAAGTGTCTGAAGTCTAAGCAGGTCTCCTTGCTTCTGTGTGTCCTCAGGACGGGAGATCACAAAAAGAATGACTTTGGAGGCGTGGATTTTGCCTTCTGCAGACCATACCCCGCAGGAAACAGGGTGAGAACTTGACTCATATGCTCTAGTATGTGGGGACTCAAAATATTTCCCACCTTGGTCCTGTCTGGACAGTATAGCAGACAAGTGCTCCAAAGTGGGGTTGCAATCACAAGTGTACAGGCTAGTGTTTGTGTTAGAAAGCGCTGGAAGAGCCACACTGAACTAAATTACATCTGAAGTGCTATAAAGATTTCCTCTGAATAAATGAGTCAGAGAGTGACTTTGGGCTGTATACTTTGCTAGGGCGACCTAAGTAAACGTGGGCGACAACAAAAATTGTTCTCTCTGTTCTGGAGACTGAAAATCCAAATTCATTCACTAGGGCCATGCTGTCGCTGAGGTCTCTAGAGGAAAATCCCAGGGGTTTCTTGGCTTGCAGCATAACTCCTGTCTGGCTTCACATGCTCACGCCCTCCTTCCTGTCTGCCACTGTGTCTCATCGTCCTTCATAAGGACCCCCCTTTATGAGCACACAACCACTCCACAATACTGTGCTAAGAAAATCTTCGAAGATTTTATTTACAAACAAGGTCACATACATTGATTGTTTCTGGAGGTTAGAGTTTACACATTTTGGAAAGGGGGCACATAAACCCTAACACAGGGACCCATCAGACATTCGGTATGTTCAGTTGAAAGCATTTTATGTGAGGCAAAGGGAAAGGACCAATATTTTTCATGTTTTCTAAATGAATATTATAATTTTGATTTTAAGGAGCTCTGGTCACATAGTTGGTTATGAATTGAATTGTGAACTAAAGGGTCAGTGGTTCAAACTGCTCTACTGGAGAAAGATGAGGCAGTCTGCCTCCATGAAGATTTCCAGCCTTGAAAACCCTCTGGAGCCCTTGGTTTTACTATGCCCCATTGCATTACTATGGGTCAGGATGGCTACGGGATTGGTTAGATTGATTGGTATTTATAGTCAAGTAGAACTTTTTTTCTTTTATCCAGATACCAAAACCGTTTCCATTCTTTCCTGTGGCCATTTCTGACCATAGCAATAACATTGTCACATAGTAATTTAAAAAAAAAAAAAAAGAGGATAAAGCTAGTAGGCAGGCCAGTTTAATTTTGTTCAGAGGGATAGTGTGGGATCCAGCCCACATCTGGATGGGTCCTGAGGATGGTTGTGTAACTGAAGGGAAGAAACTAAGAGGCAGACAGAAGTTTTGGGGCGCTCAGCTCCATGGTCACAGGAACCAGGTCTGGGAAAGCTAGTATAGTCTTTTACAGGCTTATATCTTCTCAGGACATGTAGACCTCCTTAATTACATACATGGCAAGGTGGGCAGTCTCTCAACCCTAGAGGTCCCTGAACTCATTGGGAGAGAAATCTAACATTACCGTTGGGGGCAGGCAGAGGGGCTCTGACTGCCCCTTAAGCAGGGAGAACAAAAGAACCAGGTCTGCACCTATAGATAAAACCCCCTGCCGTATAGTGATCAGCCATGGTCTTGTAAGAGGTGACGTTCAGGTAACTATTATGGGAGGATGTTGTGGGGATGAGTTTTAGTTAGGAGCATGAGACTGGGACTCCTCTCCAATTCACAAATGTGAAGGCCTTCACCCAGAATTCTGGCCTCCCAGTCTTCTTCAATTATGAAAATAAAGAATTTGGCCACATACACTCTCTTCCCAGTCCTGTTTCCCACAGTATAGAGCTACTTATACTATGGTTTCTATTATTTTAGTAACATTAATTCTCAGAATTTGAGTATATAACTATTTTTAGAAGACTTGTCTTAGATGTCAGCAATAGGAATTCTTTGATTGATTAAACTGTTTACTTGTGTTCTGGATGAGAACACAAAAAGCAGACAAATGGACACAAAAGAAGTCCCTTCAGAGAAGCGACCCAGAAGCACTGATGGCTGCTGACAAGAACACACTCATGCCCCTGACAAACTAGTCATCCAGCACCCTTTGAAACGATTCCAGTATTAAACAATTGTTTCAGAGGAATCTGGGGGAAGCATGCAAAATTGGATTGAAAAACAGTATGTCAAAACCAATCCGTATTAAAAATGAGCAAAATGTAGCAATATTTCCCATATTCCTGTAGTTCTCTTTGTTGTGTCTGTGCCGAAAAGACAGTGACACATTCTGACTCAGGATTTTTAGGATGATGTAGAATGGAAACAAGTCATTTTCATTGTGAGCTGACGCACACTACCCACTTCACACAGCTGTGAGGGTTAGACTTGGTGCTTGCCCCACGTTGAGCACCGTGCCTGGCAGAGAGCTACAGTTCCTGTAAACAGATGTGTACCAATCTGGTTCAGAATTTCAGCTGCTTATGTGGCTTGTTGCCATTCAGCTTCCTGCATCTTTATGAACAGTGTATAGAAACAATCCTTAAGGTCAGCGTCCATAAGGGCTGGGTAAAAGTGTCTGCTGGAGGACATTGTTCACTTCGGTAGTAACAAGATCAAGAAAATGCGTGGTGGGCTTACTACTTGATTGGACTATGCCTTGATTGGGCCCTGAGCTCTGCTTCTGCCATTCACTGTCCAGTCACATCTCTTGAGGCTGGCCTGGAATAGGTGGAGAAATTCTCATCCCACATCGATGGATGAGTGATTTGCTTATTTTGTTTTGAGGAGGGTACAGCATCTCTCACCAATCTGAAAAAACAGATGTTTTCTTTAG